GCCTGTCTCTCTCTCTCTCTCTCTCTCTCTCTCTCTCTCTCTCTCTCTCTCACACACACACACACACACACACACACACACATGTGTGCATATATATTTTTTCAAGATTTATTTATTTTCTTTTCATGGTTTTATTAATTCTAAAAGCTTTCAGGCCATACATCCATATTATAATGTACTCAAGCGGGTACTCATGCGAGAGTAGACTTATACAGTGACGTCCAAAAGAAACTTGAAAATGAAACCACCATGGTGTTAAAGCTTCCCATTACCTACTCGTGCAGCATTCCTATTTAAAGCTACATTTCTACATCATCTGACACATGAATAATTCATCTATATTAAGAGACGACCGAGATATGGTCACTCAAACTTGACCTTAAAAAAAAAATCAGGTTTGGCAAAGGTTGTGCGAAATCAAAGAAACGTACAATTGTCTTCGCGCGTGTATTGAGGAGCCTCAATATTGAACGAAATCGAATGAACATACATTACATATTTAATAAATGGAGAATTTTGTATTGTTTTATTGCAATATAAAATTTTATATTTTAATACCTTGTCACGATAGTTTTAAGCACAACAAAAAACAGAGCAATCACAAATACCATGCAAAAATTGGACTTACCATTAAATGTGCTCACTCATAGTTATTTAGTATAGGGGTCAGTAATTTTGTGTTGTGGACGAGCCCCTTTGGTCATCGACTCTATTAACTTTTGGACACAGTTATCTGTTATTTCATCCCAAATGTCACAGACAGTTGCAAACAACGGGTCTGAATTGATAGCAAAGTCGAACTTATTCAGCTGCTGTTTCATGGTATTTCACTCTTCGCATACCTGTGGGATTCCTATCGGGGCTATTTACTGGTGACCACTGCAACTTTGATTTGGTTTAGTTTTCCAAAAAATTATCTAGTGGCATTGTCCCTGTGAGAAAATTCTTTGCTTTGCATGGAGATGTGTACTTGAATGAAACCATGACGAACATAGGGGTAAGACATGACGTTCCAGCACTTGCGCGCTGTAGACCACTAAACAAAGCCATCCGGCGATTCTCATGAGGGCAGTTTTGTTCATTCCACCCCAGGCCACCCAAAACCAGGGCAGTTTCGTGGCCTCTATTTCTCACTGATATGATTGTGTCCAAAATCTAGCTAAACCTAACACAGTTCGTATGTAAAAAAGGTCTCATACCTACACGAAACCATTAGCTCCCAAACAAAAACAAAATTAAAACTAATATGCACATGTTATGTTAAGTCCATGTTTTGTGCGGTATTTGTATCTGCTCTGTTCTCTAATCTATTTGAACATACCTTGAGAAGATGCTGTTCCTTGCAGAGACAATAATATTCTCTTTTCATTTGATATTCAATACATGTGCCTTTGCACCAATGTTGATGCACTTCAATGTAACGCGTGAAAATACTTTTGCGTTTCTCTGATTTCGCACAATTTTAGCAAGCCTTACTTTTTAAGGTTAATTTTGAGTGACTATATCTTGGTTGTCTCTTATCATAGATGAAATATTAATGTTGCAGATGATACAGAATTTATTTAGCGTTAAATTGGTATGCTGCATGAGCGGGTAGGGCAAGCCCTTAACACGATGGTTGGGTGATTTTATTTTCAAATTACTTTTGGACGCCACAATATTATAAAAAATTAGCGTGAACACTGGTGTAACAAGTATCATGTTTTGTTTTCTATGGCAAGAGCTGTTCTCGTATTTCATTTACATCTGAAGCATCTGATCAATACATGAAATTCTTGTTTTCTGAATTTCTTTTTGAACGGATTGCAACTGCCATTGTTGTCGAAAATATCCAACCATACGAGAGTATTTATATCGCGATTAACCGCTTGTTCTGCGTTAATGTCAGGGTCCCTTACTTTTTTTCAGAGAGGGCTAATAAGAAGTCCAAAGCAGGGTTTAACGTGCAAGTAAGAGAGAGAGAGAGAGAGAGAGAGAGAGAGAGAGAGAGAGAGAGAGAGAGAGAGAGAGAGAGAGAGACAGACAGACAGACAGAGCCGCATACGCAGAA